CCAGCTCTCCTTCGATCCATATCGATTAGGTGCGTCGAGATGTCAGGTCCTTGACTACTTTGCAGCCAGTAGTAGCTAAAAAGAAAATATGACAAGTACAAGTACCGCACGAAACACACTGACTGACAAGGTGGACGATGCTCTTCCCCAGCTCTTCGCCCCAGCGCGTCGCAAAGGGTGTCCACCGGCTAACGGGGCACAACAACAACTCTAAAAGAGGGTGCCTCTGACGGAGTGCCCGACGGAATGAAAACCCGCGCCTTGCATGCCACTATCGAGGCCTTGGCTCCTCGCATAATGCGCTAGAGCCCTTGAGCCCTATTGGGCTCGTATTGGGCGGTTTTCAGGTACGGGGTTACGCTTCCCCGCGACCATGTAATACACACACACATATATAATGCACTCACTGACAGATAGACAAACAAAAATAAACATGTAGACGGAGAGAGAGAGAGAGACGGACACACGGACAGACGGACACAACTACCTGATAAGCACCTTATAGCCTTAGCCTCCGGACGCTTCCGACGCGTGTGCACTCGCGCGCGCGCACGTGTCTGTCTGTCTGTCTGTCTATGGTCTAAGCCTACCAAAACCAAAACCGAAACCAAAACCGGGCCTCATCGCCAAGCTGGCCTTAGAAGGACGGCAGCGCGAAGCCATAGAGATCAGCCATCGCCAAAGATCAATCACAATATAATGGAATTAGCTTGATGGGCATCATTGAAAGGTGATTAGTGATAATTAAATGAAATATGGGTTGCAGGTGTGCAGCACCCAAACCGAAGCTTGACCAGCGCAGCATTGGTTGATGCGTCTAGAGCGACGATTTCTCTCTTTTGCCCCTAGCTGCAGATGCGCACAAGTCGACGTTGCAATCATCAATCCCAGCAGTTCCCTAACGCCAAAACAAAGCCCTAACTCTGCCCCCAAAACGTTCACCAGCACGCGCAACGAACACTCACACAAAGATTTCAATTTTTTGGGCGACTCGCTTCCCATCTCTGGAATGCTATGCTAATCGACTAACCGACTAACCGAATTTACCGAACCAACGAACGACATTACTGGCAATAACATGCAGCAAACGCACAAGCGCATCCTGTTAGCTAAGGAAGTGCTGCATGGCACTGTACGGAGCACCCGACCGTGTACAACCGCCTGCTGTACGAAAGTGCTGTAAACGGCGGTTACAGCGATTATATATATTTGGCGGGTACCAGCCATCAGCACGACTCAGATGATCGCGCGTATGTGCATACGCGATTGGCATCCGTTTCCTCCTGTACTACTGTGAATCCTTTGGAACTGCGCCGCGGGAAGAAATTTCTGGGCTTGTGTGTATGCGTGCACGCCCCCCCGCGGGGCCCCCACACCAGCAAATCCCCCATCGCCACGTAGCGGCACGCGCATAGTAAACCAAGGTACAACATCTGTATCTGGGCTTTTGTCCACCAGCCTATGCCTACCTCGCCATTCATCAACTGCACAGCCAGAATAACTGTAACTAAACCTAACAAACTGCGTTGAGCTAGAACCCCTCACGAGCTCTCTCTCACAACTACTCTGTGCTTGAGACAAACGTCTCCTGCTTAATAACGACCTCCTGCTAAATCTCCAAATCTCGCGCCATAAACCTTTATCTGGGATCTTCTTACGCACCTAATAACTCCCGACTTCGTCAACAGATTTAGATGAAAAGACATCAAGGGAATCCTCAAGGCGTGCCGCTGGCGCTTTTTTACTGCAGCAGACAACGAAAACATTCCTTCCAGGAATCGATCTGCAGCAGAGCAGAGGCAACAATAGCATCAGCAGCCTTTGCTCACCGCCATTAGCATCAGCAACAGCATTAGCAACAGCATTAGCAACAGCAGCAGCAGGCAGCAGTTACAGCAGCAATCGCACACATACGCATGCGTACAGCATCCTTTACTGGACACCAAAACTGTTGCCCAAAGTCCCCGGCATCAAAATATCCCCCTGCAGGACCAGGACCTCATTTTTTTGCATCACACACAAAAAGAAGGCATGGGCGCCGTTTATGCGTACATCCTGCCAAAAAGGGGCCGAGGACGGACAGGTTCCTAATGAAAGCACCGTACGAAACCTCGTACCTGCCCACACGGCCAGCTGGCCCGCTGGCTCTATCTACTCTTCACGAGCCTGGAGCCCACTGTAACAAACACACACAAACACACACACACAAACACACACACACACACAAACACACACACACACACACACACAAACACACACACACACACACAAACACACACACACAAACATACACGCGCGCGATCGTCATATTGAACGAAGGGCAGCTACGCGGCCTCGGAGTAGACAAGGCCATGCGGGTAACTGCCCCCCCTTAGCTCCCCGACGCAACCCAACCCACCGAGCTGAGCACTCAACGTGATGTGTTAATCCACGTCACGCCCCCGGTGGGGGTACATCGCACACATACCGCAACACCCATAACGCCCTACAACATCCTCACGCGCCCCAAACCCAGGTGACGAAGTCCATACCCGTAACCAGGCGGCACTGCTGCCTCCCACCATAGCCTCTCCCCCGCAGCGAACTACCAGGGGAGATAAACCAGAACGACCCCCTCCGGCCCCTGCGCTAACCAGCAATTAACCAGCCAGCCTTAGCCAGGCTTAGACAACCAGACAGACAGACAGACAGAGGATCATCCAACCAACAGCCAGCCAGCCAGCCAACAACGTTCAGACTCCATGACCCCATGGCGAGGGGGACACGAGCACATGCCCGCTGACCCGGAGCAGTGCGGTCAAATGAGCCCAACTGTCCGTTGTTCTTCCGCTTGAGCCGTTGACTGACACCACAGCCATGTGCACCAAGGTGCAAAATCGCATACCACCACCACACGCCGCACCACGCCACCGCATCCAGGCGGTATAAAAACTAAAAAACTAAATTACAACCAAAAATACCGGCGATCCGCCTCCTCCCCCATCCTTCTTCATTGGACGTTAGTCGTCATCTCATGATTACCCGCATCGCTTCGGAAGGAAGCATTATAATAACGACCGTCGACTAGAAGGCGGCAGTTGAGGCTGTTCGGTGATGCACAGCTCCTCCAGGCTTTCTAGCAGTACCCATGCCCACCCAATGCCCACCCCAATGCCCTTCCTTGCAAATCCAACCGCCCCCATCCCTGACCAGTACAGTACAGTACAGTACAGTACCTCACGACCGCCAGGTCCCCAGGGCAGCCTCCAACTAGAGAACGAGTCGGAAGGCAGTTGTATGCACACACACGCACACACACACACACACGCGCGCGCGCGCAAACACACACACACACGCACACGCGCACACGCACACACACAACGCAAATCAGGAGTCCGAATCTATACACTGCCGCAGAGCAGTGGCGGAGGATTAATCCTGCACAGGGCCTGGACCAGGCTGTATACCCGATGGTGGTTGGAAAATGAAACCAGGCGGCGGCGGCAGGATTCGTAAGGATAGGGTGGCGATTGGCACCGGTGTGAGTGCATTTGCAGATGGCGCAGCTGTAGAGGATGCGCTTTCGGTGGAACAGAGGTAGCTTGGCAATCTGAGCTGGTGTGTATGTAGCTGGCTAGAGGATTCGAACAGGTGACGGCGTCTTGCGTTGATAAGGGCGAACGGTTAGGACTCTGACCGGCACAAACACACAGACAGCTCCCTACGTCCCGGACATCCAATCAGGCACACAAGAAGTGGACATCTACGATCGCAACAACCGACTCCACACGCACCGCACCGCACAGAACGGAAATGATAGCCCCTCAACCTCCTCGACCCCGAGCGCTGTGTGACACTTTGGCTGAGGCAACGCGGGGAGAGACGCTTTGCTCTTCTGCCGGAACGACAGGCAGGACTTCGCTCCGGGGGGTTGAGAGATGATAAACTTCTGTAAGCGATGCGACATGAACGACGATTCCCTTGGGGACCAAGTGGATCGCAAAAGCACGCAGAAAGATAGCGCAGAACAGCAGGCAGCGCGTCCTTCACGAGGATTCATTAGATCATTAAAGCACTGCACAACACACGCAACCACGTGCAGCCCGGAAGCAAGGCCGACAGCACCCCTTGTAGGACCTCTGCGCTGAAGGGCCTAGAAGCTGTCATCCACATCCACATCCACATCCACATCCACAAGCGACAAAGCGAGGAGGAGCATCCTCCATCCTTCGACACCTCGGGCGCACCTCCTCCTCCTCCTCGCAGCACCACATCCCACAACATCCCCATCCATCGTGCCGTGCTTTGCTTAACTTAATAAAGTGCACAGCCCAGCCCCCATCACACCGCCAGGTGAGACCTCAATGCACAGCAACGCATCAACCATTCAGCCCACCACATACGGCATCCCCCCACAGCGAATCACACAATTAAACGGACATCCTATTATTTTCCTGAATTCCAGTCCATCCGAATCGAAAACGTTTCTGCGGAGGAGTCTTCTTCTTTTCAAAACCATCTACAAAAAACGTTTGGATGAGGGGTAAGCTGATAGGGGGTCGCACAAGGAGGTGCAGGAGAAAACCCGCCCACACGCACACGCACCCGTGTATATGTTTGTTGTGTATGGCAGGCCGGTGTGACGACCGGCCTTAGCGTACAGGCCCTAAAACGGCCACACGCACGGGCCGATATTTCCTTCGTCGACACCAGAGGGCGTGTGAACGCCGAGAGGGCGTGCGAAATCTCCGCCGAGCCGCCAGTCCGCTGTCCCTGCTTTCCTTGCTACAGCTGCTGCTATTGCTACTGCTACTGTTACTGCTACTGCTACTGCTAGCAGGGGAGCTACACAGCTGAGAAGAGAGCGAACGACTTCTCACTCACTCGCTCTCGTGGTCGCGGGGGGGGGTCGTGTTTCATATGCTTAGTCTGTTTGGACCTGAGCCTCTGAAGATTTCGCAAATGCAAAGTCCGTATTTATGTCAGTGTCGCTTATGTTTCGCCTGCTCCTGTTATGTTGTATGTCTAAAATTAAGTACGCGGTAATCAAGGGTACCATCGCCGCAGACGATGCCGGCGCTGTCGCAGACGATGCGGCATCCCTGGGTTGGTAGGTAGTGCTGTTACTCGTGCCCCGCCCCGGCGGCGCCGCCGCAGGGAGCCCAGACCCGCACAGGGCCTCATCTGCACGGGTGAAGTGCGCATGACATCAAACATGCTCCGGCAGCCCCCCCCAGCACTCCGGACCGCAACCCCCACCCCGCCATGCAGGTCCGCAGCTCCACGTCCAGTCGACTCCGGCGCGGAGCCCCCAGCTGCCTGACAACTGGACCCACAGCCACCAAGTCCAGTTCGTCCACAAGCAGCGCTTCAGGACTATCCACGGCTTATGCGGAAGCCGGGAAGCCGGGAAGCCGGGAAGCCGGGAAGCTGAGAAGCCGGGAAGCCGTTCGCGGCTACACGGGAGTCAGCCAGCGTCGCAGTTTTGCTGGTGCCGCTACCGCCCTGTCGTTCGGCGACATGACTACTAAGCAACTTCGTCGGGAGGAGCCCCTTGTTGAGCCCCGCATAGCAATACCGAAATGACGGCCCCATGGCGGCGCATGACCTGCTCCGACAGCCACGACGGCGGCGGTCCGTCTTCCGGCTGTGACGTGCGCCGGGCGACCCACCACATGGCGCTGCCGTATAAGTACTCCAACATCTCAAAGCACTGCCGAAGGCACGGCGCCAATACCTGCTCATCCACGCCCGCCGCTGCCGCTAAGGCCGCCGCAATGGGGCCGGCAGCAGCCGCCGCTGCCGCTGCCGCTGCCGCTTCTGCGGCGGCCGTTGCCGCCGCCGCCACGCCATCACCACCGCCCGCAGTGGTGGCAGCTGCTGCTGGTGCAGGTACGGCGGCGAAGGCGCGGCTTACATCGCCAGCATCCACACTGTCGTTGACGTCCATCAGGGTGGTGGCGCCATCGGCGGCGGCAGCGGCACCGGCGCCGACTGCAGCACCGTCGGTATCAGCAGCAGATGCGCCGCCACCACGACTCGGTTGCCTCGGAGATATAAGCCACATTGCCAAGGCGAAGCACGCAACCGCAACGGTACTCGGCTGAAAGCGCTCGAGCTCGCTGCATGGCAGCGTCAGCTCCTAGGGTACGGCAAAGCAGATGGCAGGTTTTGACGGAGCAATGGTAAGTGTGAGGGCCCGTTGCTCGATGACATGGCCACACGATAAGCCTGCCGACATGGAAATGAGAAACCCCCAATACTCCAGCCGTTTGGCTAATCTAATCATATTACCACAAAATGCGGGGAGGCATGGCAAAAAGATGGCATGGGTTGAAAAGTGGAGAGAACACAAGTCGGAGCTCAGCCTAGCTCTAGTCAGCCAGGCCGACCCGAATCAAAAGGACTCACAACAAGGAACTCCGATATGGCTTTCAGCGCTGTCATAGCTCCTGGATTGGCGTGCGCGGACGGCATGCCGCACTGCTGGGCGACCCACGGGTCTTTTCCAACGCAATGCAGCAGGTGCTGCATGATGCCATACTTGGTGGGCAGCAGTGTTCGCCAGCCTAGGGTCTCCAGCAGCAGGCACTCCATGCGCGCGAAGTCCGCCTCCTGCATGCGTGAATGCACGCATGGATGCCCGGGGTAAGGAGACTCGGAGAGCCACAAGAAGATGGCAGGGAAGAGGCAGAGGGGAGTGGGGGAGGCAAGCGCACAATCCGACACAACGGTCCACGGGGATACGGGCACCCTGACTTCTACGATACGGGAAGCGCACGCATATTATCAGCGCCATCCACTATTAAAGCTCTTGATATAGCTGTCAGAGACAGACACACACACACACACACACACACACACACACACACACACACACACACACACACACACACACACACACACACACACACTCTACACTTAGATGTCGTAATACACGCATGCACCCACATACGCAACAGGGCTCGTCCTCTTGCGTCCCTGCCTGTTTCAAGCGAAGCGTAGTTCGATTTTGGAATGTACACAGCTGTCTGTCTGTCCGTCTGTCTGTCTGTCTGTAGGTTTGTCTGTTTGTCTGTAGGTTTGTCTGTCTGTCTGTCTGTAGGTCGGTACGTGTGCATGTATCCATGCAACCAATTTCGTGTAGTGGAAACGCAGCGATTGATTCCGATGAAGATTAGTACGACATTCTTGGAGAAGCGACATGGCCATAAACCGGAAGAACGCCGCATGAGTGATCATAACCCCGTGTCCCTTCACCTCGCGTCGGTTTGGAGGCCGGACCGGCCACCCACGCGTAAACCCAAGCCGACGTTTCTTGTCTCTGAGGCGCACAGGTACACAGACATGTTCTACAACCCGGAGGCCCCCCCTGTGGTTGGTGTCCGGGCGGTTGTGGATTCCCTGCGTGCTGGCCAGATTGGTGTCACCCAGGCGGTGGACACTATCGAACGGATTTTGCTGGGTTGCTTCGGTGATGCCTTCAGGCCCGGGCCGGTTTCTAACGGCAAGGCGGCGTGGTGGAATCATGAGTGTGCTGCGGCTAAGCAGGCCATGTTGCAGTATCGGTCTGATGTGATGAAGTGGGGGTGTGCTGCCCCGGCTATGGGGCATACGAGTTTTCAAGAGTTACGTCGTCAGTTTAATCGTGCTAAACGTAACGCGCGACGGGATCACCGGCTGCGAGCCTTGGAGTCATTCATAGCTACATGCAAACGGGATGCGAAGACCCTATGGCAACGTCTGAACGGTAAGCCAGCGTCCAGATGCAATGTG